CTAAAACTAAACTAAAACTAAACTAAACTTGGCTGTATTTGGCTTTCTCGAATTTCTGAACTTGTCCTGACCAATTGTAGGCATGAAAATTTGCAGCAGTATATTGCATCCTGGCAGAAACAGTAGGATTTGTCAGGAGGCATTTGAGATTTTATCTTTTGAACCTCTTTAGGTGACAATGGCCAGTTTGGACATTCCTTTTCAAATGTTTGCTCCCAAGAGCGTTGAACTAGAAGATAACGATCCGATGGTAAGAACTGCCTATCTTTCTTGGTCCTATAAAATTGTTGTCAGTATTGTGCCTCCTGAATGCCAGGCATGCCTACAATTTCTGTCTGCAAAGATAACTTCTTATCTCTGCTCAATTTTGCCCATCAGGACTTTATTATGTTAATTGGACACTTGAATTCCTTCAATAGGTAAATCCTCCTGATTCTCCAGATACAGAGTCTCCCTTACAAGGTAGCCTACACTCAGTGGGTTCCAGTGGCAGCAGCAGTGGGAATATCCATGATGAATTTGTTATGATAGATTTTGTAAGTCTATACAACCTTTTACATTACACAAGTAACTAGTATTTAAAACTTCATGCTCTGGTGTTTGGGGGAAAGTTTTCTTCCAAGAAGCACTAGTCTCTTTGGTGAATCTGTGGGGTCCTTGATGCTTTCTGAGCTTGGTGGTTTAATTGCAGATGATTCGTTATCAAACTAGGTAAAAGTTGCCTGTCCTAATTTTTGCTAACCAAAAATTAATGCCAAAAGTTTATTTCATTATCCAGATTTTATTCTGGTATGAGCAAAGAAAATATCTACAACAGTGACTTGTAACAAAAATGTGACAATTCAGAAATCAACCATAGCATATTACAAAATCAAAATATTTTTTAATCTATAATCAGATTTTGTTCTTTCAGAAAGTTAAAAATATTTTAACCAGAGATTAATAGATACTATGGAAAAATAAGAATGGGAGAGAAATCTTTTGATAGTTGATACATTACTATTTAAAGCAAAAACTATAGCAATACAACAGTTGTATTTTCATTTTAAAAAGACTCATGAAACAGTGAGTAGAGAACACATTTCAGAATGATACCTATTTATATTTTGTTGCTTGTGCATAGTTGACTTAAATCTTTTCACTTGAATTCTAGAAGCCAGCATTTTCTAAAGATGACATTATCCCCATGGACCTAGGGACTTTCTATCGTGAATTTCAGAATCCTCCTCAACTCAGCAGCCTCTCAATTGATATTGGAGCTCAATCCATGGCAGAAGACCTGGTAAGCAATAAGATTTCTGCGAGGGATATTTATTTCTATAGCTCTTTTCATTTCCAATTTGGAGAGTGTATTAGTAAGTTGGACAAATAGACAGAGCTGTGAACCAGGAAGTCCTAATGTTAGTTTTTACAAGCGTGTATTTATATGTATGAATTTAATTTATATACTGTCTTTCGCTTTCAGGTCAAGGTGGCATATATAGTGCTCCTTTCCTCCCCTTTTCTCCACAATGACTCTATGAGATAGTTTGGCTAAGAATAATTGATTTTGTAATAGTTTTGACTTTTCTTAAAATTATTGCTGGAATCTCGGAAATATCCTCAGTTTAAACATGCTGAAGTATGTCTAAAAACTGGACAGATAAATAAGGCAAGAACTGCTTGGAAATCTGCCTGGAACTGCCAAAAATATGTTTAATTCTGAGCTCATGATATGCAATAGTCACCCTAGGGACCCTTATAGCGGCAGGATTTTCTTTTTCTCAGGGATTTGAAGTTTTATACAAGTTTAAGTGTGTTTTCTAACAAATTGTAAAGGGCACTGATGTTTGAATTTCACTCTGATGCCTAATACAGAACTTTGGTCAATAAATAAATAATGTGTGGTCCTTTTTTTGCTTTTTGCATGTTAGTTCCTTTGTTTCAAGAATTTTTTTCTAATTGTGGAAAGTTTTTCCCAATACGGACTTTCGTTAAATGCTGGGAAATAATTGATATTATGAAATCTATTTGATGAGAAACAGCGTAGTCTTAACTTCATCCCTCCTTGCCATTCCAATGTCTGACTCTTTGTATAGTGCTCTATTTGGAAGGAGGGAGCTAGTTAACCTTGAGCTTTGGAGGAAATTTGTAAAACAAATGTATCTTGAGAAAATACAGCTGGAGAAAATCTATGATAGATTCACTGTCATGTTCTCATATTGACTAGTACAGAGGTGTTCTTGATTTTCAATTAGTTGCTATTTTGTATTGTCTCATTGTATTATTGAGCCCCATATGGGTTTGAAAAGCATCTTTAGAAGTACAGATATGGACAGCTGGCACTCTTAGCATTTCATGTAGCTTATTTGTGGGAAAGCAAGCTATAATTTTAGTAATAAGTATCTTCAAGATCTATCTGAGGGGTTAGAAGATTCAAATACTATGCGAGTGCTTTGCTATTGTGTGCTTTGCTTAGGTGGGTAGATCTATTGTTTTTCCTAGGTTTGGGAGCCACTTTTTATATTTTGTTGTGTAGCGTATCCTTACGGTTTAGAAAAGAACCATACGATTATGTATATTGATGGATTCCACTAAGAGTCACTGGTTTGCTTTCTGTGAGCTAAGTATTTTATTCTTGGCAAATATGTAATGTAATAACCTGAGATTCAAGTCCCATTTCTGCTTTTTAAACTCAAGGTTTTGGCCAAATTTTCTCATCTTTGTTTGTTTAACAAGCAGAAATTCTGGTTTCTTTCTGCCTACCATTTCACAATCATCTGAATGAAATGTGCAAATTTTCTGGTTAATGAAAGAGCTTTCTGAATGGGCATGCATTTCTTTCCTGCTGAGCACTGCATCTTTTGCCCACAGAGATTTCAGTTTAGACACTTACCATATTTCCTCTCTCTACAGGACTCACTGCCAGAGAAATTGGCTGTTCATGAGAGGAACGTCAAAGAATTTGATGCTTTTGTAGAAACTTTACAGTGAAATTGAACCAAGTAAGAACAGCCTCGGACATCCTCTTCGGCACTCTGGAAAAGCAGGCCTATTCATTTTGTACCTGCCTCCCTTCCGGGTCCTGTTTATGTTGCATCAATAATTTCATTTGCTTTCTGGGCTTTGTCCGATGCAGAAACAAATGTGAATCACTTTGAACTGACCTTGTGGCAAATTAATTCATTTTCCTTCTTGTTACAGTTGGCATCTGAAACAGTGTAGTGAAGAACAAAATGATCACTTTTGCCTTCTATTCTCTCATCTGTAATAATTTTCTGTTGCTTCTGCTTCCATCAACTGTTGTCTCTTTTCACTTGATTCAATAGAGCCATCACTTGAAAGGATCAAAACAAACAGAATAATCCATGCTCATTGAATTCTGAATACTGCAGAATTAGTCTATTTTCAGTGAGTGTGTTTCATATACTACAACAGGTGATAATATTCACTTCTAATGTTCTAAATAATGGAAACAAGGTGTTGCACATCTGCATGCCGAAGTAAGAAATGAAGACCACCTTTTCCCCCCTGCTGCACAGTTGGGAATTAATCCATAAGAGCAGAAAAAAAGTGCTTTTCATATATTTTTCCACCAACAGAGTAAAAAAACAATGCCTGCCTAAGGCTGGGCAAAATGTCTTGTTGCTTTTGAAGAAGGTTCAGAGTTCATGGAACTCAGAATTAGCATACAATTGCTAATTGTAAATATGTTAGTGATCCTAATTCTTTAGGATTACTTAATTAGGAATCTTTAGTCCAAAGTTTTTACAGATGCTGCTGCTCTATGTTAAGAGAAATAAGAAATATTTATTATTCTAAAGGAAACTATATTTAAAGAAAAGTTGTATGTTATGTTTTCACATTGTTGTGTGGCCATAGGCTGCTGTGTTCTTTGTCAAAAGAATGAGGGCATCTTCCTTTTTTTTCTCTCCAAAAGCAGACATGTGCTGGAAAATTTATCTTTCCCAGAAATTGACTTGATTTCATTCTGCCCTCTTGGAGGGGTCTAGAAATGTCACAAGGTATAGTCTCTGGTGTAGTGAATTTGCAGAATTCTAAAAAGCTGAGCTCTGTCATATTTGTAAAATAAATTTATGTAATCTGAGATGAATTAGAAAGTAACTTGGTATAGAAGTACATTTTACGAGATTTACGGTACTTGTTTTATCGTGCAACATTTTGTTTAAAGTTGTTTTTCTAACGAGTTAGACATTAAGTAATGCAATTGACTGGCATTTCTATGTGTTCTGTTTGCTACATGTTCCATGCCAACTATTAGGGAAGGGAGGAAAAAGACATCCATATGAATTCAGGGTTAGGCTCTGGACACAAGTTCTTCCTTTTCATTGTTAAAAAACAGGCTGAGAATTCACCTCTATGCATTTTTTTAATGGGAGCAAGCATCTTTAAAAAACTTTAGGAAGATAATTTTTGAGTAAACTTGTTTAGAATTGAACTGCCATATACTGTACTGAAGAAAGAAGAACATATCCTCTCATTCCTTCTGTCTTTCATCTTAAGATGCTTTTGTATGATTGTTGCCTTTAGATATGAAGGATATTTACAGTTTAAAATAATGGAATGTTGACTTCCTGAAGTATAGTGCTCTGCTCTTAAAGGTTTTGCTTGCTTATGGTCTAAGATGGGGTGATGGGGGAGATTATTAGGACAGTATACATCTTTCAGATAGGTTCTGGAATTTTCTGTTCCTTACTGCTTTGCAGAAATGAGCAGAAAATAAAATATTTTATCTTCTAGCATGTAATTTATCTTAATGGCTCAAGCTGTAAGAAATTTATTTAAATTGACTGAAAAATATCTTTTAAATTTATTTTTGAAGTATTTATGGTATTGTTATTCATTATTGGTCCACTGAAGAGCACACATCTAAGTTCATATCTAAATTGCTCCTTTCTATCAGAATGATAGAAACATCAAAACTGCTTTAAAAATAGATTTAAATAGAAAGAGGCTCCAACCCATAGTCATATCTGCATAAAATAGGGCTTGATTCCCTGAGCCTCTTAGCTTTCTAATCAAAATATTATTTGAATATAGGAAAAAAAAGCATTCCTTATTATTCTTCATGAGATGTCATATGATGTAGAGCTATTTGTTTAAATAAATTTGGCTTTTCCAGCATAAACTACAGGAGGGCCTATTCTTATAAATGATAATATTTGGTAAGGAAATTGCTTGTTTCTACTTTTCCTAGTGTTCCTAAAGTTGCTTCTCTGCCAAAACTGAGATTTTGTTTTGGCACATTTACCTTGACATTCATGTCGCAACACTTATTTTGTTCTCCCTTCATTTTCACAGTAAAATGCTGGGGCAATTAAAAAGGAATTTAGTCAAATATAGGTAGCCCTCGACTTACTACCATTGATTATTGACATTTCAAAGCTATGAAAAAGTGATGTTAAGGCCCATCCTGTGAGTTGCAACCATTGCACCACCACTACTTGTCTTGGAGATTCATTGAATTACCACATAATTTGCTTAAAAATGGACATAAAGTTGAGTCACTTGATGATTCAGTTAACAATGCATTACTTAGTGACCAAAAGTCCAGTCCCAATTGTGGTTGTACGTTGAGAACTACCCATAACTATTTATTCTCAGAGTTCAAAATTATATAGATAAAATAATATAACTTCAATATCTTTGAATAGAATTACAAGTTATTCATGTTGATGTTCATTTCCTGCTCAGGATTTTTCTTACACTGAAATATCTACTGGATTGTATTCATTGCTATGATTCTGATGTTCTATCACAGAATAACCTTTTGAGAACTTCACAGAATTGGGGTCCTTGCGGGGGCAGGAAACAGCAAGAAATATGCTTACATAATATTATAAGATGCTGTTGTCTGAGTCTGGGTTCTTTATTTATTCTTTGGAGAAAATCACATTGGCTTTGTCTAACATCAATGTACTTTATCAGGGATTCAGTTATAGATCTTCAAAGAATACATTTTGTTCTACTTGCATTACAGTGCTGTGAATCAGAATTTATACATAACAGGCAACATTCAAATGCGTCAATTGAAGGAAGAAGGTTCCTCCCCTGCATTTATTTGGAAACACTATTCAAAATATTCCACTACACATCCATACAATTTCCAATAAAACTTTTATGCTACTTTAAATTCTTCCGTTCCACTGTCTTTTCTACCAAAACTTCAGATTTTAGCAAGGAAGGCAAAACAAATAGTTATCTTCCTGTTAAGGCCCCCAAACTTCTAACTTTTTTTATAATTGCCATTTTCATATCTTTCCCAACATTTTTTTCAGAAATATGCTTCTCCAGATTCAATACGATTTTCAAGTATGAATGCACACAATTGTATGAGAAGCAGACACACACTCATAGAAGATCAGTTATGAACCAGAAGTAATTTGATAAGGTTTTCTATGGCATCCACATTGTTTCCCTTGCAGTTTAATGAAATAGTAAAAATTTGATAAATTTGATTACACTGCTGACTCTATAGAGTATTAGTACTTGAGAAAAAATAATTCAAATATTCCAAAACCAATCACGAAAGACTATAAATGTCCATTACAATGGGAGAAAAACGTGCTCAGAAGCCATCTAAAGTGATAGGAGGCAGCATATGTGCGTGTACGTACATACACAAATTTAAGTAATAAACCTGCGAGGCCCAGCTTTGTCAATATTTATATCAAGAACTTTTATACTTCCACAAAATGGAGACAGGCTGATTTAATTATGCTATTAGATTTTCATTTTAGGTTGGCAAGAATCTTCTGATGTGGATTTATTTTTTTAATCGTTTATATAACTAAATTAATAAATATCTATGCTATAAAAATCTCATTTTTTCCATATTAAGAAATATGTGCGATTTAAATTCTAAGAAAAATACAATATGTACAGAAACATGGTAAAGCTGGGCAAATGAAATCTCTGCATGTGTACAATAAATTGATGGTATATTAAAACTCTGAAATTAGCTTGTACACGTATCTGTAGTTTACAGAATGCACATATCTCAGAGCTATCACAAACACATTAAAAAGCAGTTACGTACTAGGGTATAGTCATGCAAATACTAAAACCTTAAATGCTGGTGTGTTGGATATTATGAGTTAGTACCAACATTTGTAGGCAAGGTCAAACTTTGCTTTGGGGACAAATGGATACCTTTAAGACAGTGCTTTGTAAACTTGATAAATTACTCAAAATTGGGTAAAAGTGTTTCTTTGGATAACAACACACAAACCCATTACCCAATCATAATAGGAACATTTGACTAAAAGCATGTAACCTACATTGGGTAAAAAATACTTTCTGATAAGTGATTTTGGGTAATGAAAGTTTGGGAAGCACTGCCTTAAAATTTTTTTCCACATGACATCTTCCTCCCCGTCCCCTATGCTCCCCAGCTCAATTGAGATGTTAAGGGGCAAAAATGAATGTATTTTGCTTCTGCAAAGCTTAAGATGTTCAGTTCTCTTTGGTAGGTAAGAGAAAGAAATCATCCCTTGGCCCTCCATATGGTACATTGCAGTTACATGCAATCTATGCATGATGGGTTGGCTTTGCATTTCCAGAGAAGACTTAATATCAGTTTAAGTGCATACTCAGTTATAAGGAAGAAAAAGGCTTTTGCGGCTATAATTTCCATAAACAAAAATCATCCTGGTATCTCAACATGTCACACGGGAACCAAATGCGACATTAATTTGGATAGTAATTTCTACCCTTTGAAATCTCCCAGTTCCCCAAAGAGAAAACATGGTAACCATATTTATGCTGGATCATGTTTTTGGCTTTTTCTATGGAAAACTTTAAAAAAACAATTATCTGGAAATTAAAAAAATTAAAATGGTTGTGAGAGCAAATACTTAGAAAAATAAAGTGACTCTTGCCACATATTTATTATAAACATTTGCCTGATGCATTTTCTGTACTATGAAGGACTACATCCAAGTACTAAAAGAAGGTTTCGGTTTTAAAAATGTCAAAAGCTTTCTACTTGATAGTTCATGAAAATTTTACAAGTTTCTATTTTTTTTTTTAATTTAAAAAGCTAATATAGTACTAGAATCAGAATTCAGTCCCCTACTTTTGAATTTTTGAAGTGTTTTATCTTGAATTCCAAATCAAATTAACTCATATCAACAGAAGGGTTCATAATGGGTAGAATATATAAATATACCATACTAAAATAACTAGTGTGATTCTTCCCGTTACCTTACTAATTTCAATGAGACTCGTCATGTTATTAGTCAATTATCACACAACCTGTCATTTTCTTAGAATAAAAGTCAAAATTAACATTTTAAACAAAATCATTCCTTTTCCTGTTTATTTTTAATATATAATTCATTTCCCAATCTCTAAATATTTTCATTTTTATTCCAAAGAGCAATACACACACAAACACACACATATATATCTGTAAATTTAGATAAGGGTTAGCTGGATGCTTTCTAGCTTTCTTTTCAAGAGTTGAGATCATTACCTACAAAAGGTAAAAGAAGCAAGAGCCTGTTCTAGACAGGTTAGCCATCAATGAGATCTTAATTTCAGATTTATTCCTCTTTAGTTGCAGTGAAGATACATATAAATATTTGGATGTGTAGTAACATTACTCCAGATCTGAAAGCAACTAATTAATTAAAACAGCCATAATAGAGTTGGAGAAACACTAGGTAAAATGGACTGCACAATATTTAATAAGCATTGATTTATACTTAATAGGGACATTGTGCTGCATCCAACCAACACAACGGGTTTAACAATGGGGAACAAAATAGCTTTTATATTTTCAAGTATTTATTTAAGCAAGCAATACTTGAAAATATAGGAGTCAGTAGGTGTTGTGGCCCAACAGTGGCGGGCTGAGCTGTTGGTGGAATCTGACAGCGATGAATACTATGGGACTGCCCTGGACGCTGAAGAAGATTCTGGGAGCAGGGACTAGAGAGGCCTGTTGGCCACCAGGTGGCATCTGAGTCAGGGAGCAGTGAGAAAGAACAGAGGGAGGCTGTCCTTGACGTACGTATGCATAGGGCTGTGAGGAGGAGGGAGCAGCTTTGGAAGAAGGAAATAGGAACAGGTGGCTACTGATTGGCCCCTCCCAGAGAGCTTATAAGTGGGGCGACAGGAGGGGAATTTTGCAGGAAACAACAATTTACTGATCCAGCCGTAGAGAAAGATTGGGAGAATTTCATGAGTTCAAGCCTTGTTTCATAGAGATAGCTTTTTGGGCTCCCAGCCAAGGGGTTGCTTATCTCCCTCCTTAGTTGTGGCAGACAGCCAAGTCTGTGTCCATATATATTGTAGAGGCTTGGGACAGAACAGTAGGTGCCTATTTTTAAAAAAGCATCTCAATAACTAGTCTTAGAATAACAAATTGAGAAGCACACCAAAATTTGTTATTGGCTTTGAGTGTTTATTGAAGTACAAAAAGTGAAAACTGAATACAAGATTGGTACCATTGGAAGGAAATAAACAAGGATGTGTAAATAAGTCACAGTAACAATCCCCAGCCTTGCTCCCAATAAACAATCAAAAGAAGCAACAGTAACAAAAATTACCACATGAAGCCCTCACTGGAGAGTGTGCAATAAGGGCTCATATGGCCATGTAATATTTGGCTGAGGCAGAACACATAAATCATCCAGATTGGACTCAACATCAGCAGTATTACCCAAAAATTGTGTCAGTACAAGCAGCGGATTAGCTGTTAGCAAAGTGGGCACAGAATGGTTTCCAAAGGATGCCAAGTAATCAATGGGTTTAATAACAGGCAAAAGAGGAATAAAGTGGAGACATAGTGCTCCATCAACAGATACTGAGGTCAATATTTAACATGAAAGCTAAGCAACAATGAACAACAATAAGTAGATGTATCACCGAAAGAACAAAAGAGCATAGCTACAACAAGCCATCAAGTTCTGTTAGAAAAGGAGGTGGGAAGACATAAACAACTACATGGATGTTGCTACTCTAATTACTCTGACTGCTTGGATACCCCAATTCAGGCAGCAGGAATTTGGAAATCAAAATTGGGGAGTGCAGTGTTAGTTTAAACCACATATTTCATTCTTTTAAACAGTGTAGCCCAATCACAGGTCGATGGCTAGCTATGGTTTCAAGAAGGCAAAATGAGAAAAGATAAAGAAACAAAGCAATCATATGCTTTAGATTTTCTGGTAGCTCAGAAAAGTGAGACTATTAAAGGTTATTTACACTGGCTCACTTCTACAATTTTGCAAGTTTGCTTTAATAATATGCTACACTTAATGAGATATATTTTATAACCTGGCAATGCAAAGTCACATTCAGGAGTTTGATATATATGTAGTTGATAAATGTGTCATTACCCAGGTATGACAATACTGAACCCCCAAGAAACAATTTTGTCTCCAACTTATGTTAACGCAATTCTGAAACCAATTCAGTATAGAAATGATAGTTTGGGTAAAGGGACTGAACTTTCAGCACTGAGACCTTACTATTCTAAATTGCAGTTTCTGTACAATCAGTTTCTTTTCCACCTGGGCATTTTTAATAAACAAAGCAATATTTCTACGGCTTAGAATCAGACCAAATCTAGTCTCAATTCACAATGGCATGCTATAAAAAACAGCCTACAAGCTATTCATGGCCTGAAATATAAAACAATGAAGCTAATATTGATATAGTTTCTACGCAAGGCCACTCCTCGTTTAGTCATGCTAAATAGTATTATATAAAAGACATTAAGAAAAAAAAACCTTTTGATAATCTTCACAACTTTCCATTTCTAGCTGAAAAGGTCCCATGTTTCTTTAGACTAACCACTATGTACAGCATATCGGATTAATCTTATATGCTTTAAAAAAGGAGAATGAGAGTTTAGCACATCAGCCCCTCTTAATAGCTTCAACCACCTTAATCTGCCATTCCTGGTTATCACTAACAGTTTCGGAATTGTTTCAATTACTACTAGAACTCTTACACCAGCCATGGTTCAACTACTGGCACCGATCACCCAGGTGCACTTTTTAGTTCTCGTTGATCATCTGTTAATTATAAGCATAACAAATAATTTGATTACGTAATTTCACTGAACTATGGGGTAAAAAATATTGCTACTCTTTATAATTGTATGATTTTGGCCCTCTACCTTGTAGGGTCAACGTACAGTTATGTGGCCATATTCAGCTGCCAACAGAGGTGTCAGCAGGACATAATGGAAATGTTAAGATTTTATTTTAAAACTATGACCACTAAAGACATTGTAGGACACTGCTATTGTTATATAAATTTAAGACTAGCTCTTACAAAACTAAGTTCATGAGACAGTCAAAAAGAGATAGTCAAAAACGCCAAATAGACCTACTGCAGTGCTGTCTCAGTTCCTAGAAAAAGAGAAAGCAATGCATCAAATCTCTCAAGTGCCAAGGAAACCAAAGGTGCATCAGTGTCATTTTGACTAAGTCAAAAAGACTACATTTGAGTCCCATAAGGAAAAGATGGTAGAAACAAATTCATTCTTTAAAAGTTTTGGCACAGTAGATCCCAGCAGATTAGGATAAGGTTTGGCCCTGTTATGAAGCTTTTGCTTGAAAACAAATATAATTCCAATGGCTAAAGTGCTGCATCCAGAACCACCTAATAGCCCATTTCTCCTGTTTCAGTCACAGGTATGGCCAACATTTGATCTGGACTTTGGCAGAGAGGAGCTGGCCTGGTTGAATGCATATCAATACACGTACACATACTTGCATTCTTATCTGCCAATTAAAAAGGAAAGGCTTGCTGCCAAGGCCAATTTGAAATAAATTGCTGGCAAAGTCTACAGGAGAACATTGAAAA